AGTCTACTGGGACCTTAAGTTGCCCAGTAAGGTTCCTCCTCTTTGCGAGCCGATCCCGCTCACCTCCCTCCCTACGCTGGGCTACCTGGAACAGGTGAGAAACACTCCGAACTGTCACGTTGTCAAGGTTTGATGCGTGTTTTGTGAGCCGTTTTCCCTGCTCTGAAGGGTGTGGCGGTGGCGGTCATCAAGGCCATGACGGCTGTCGGGTGCCTGAAACCGAAGTTTCCCTTCTTCAGTATGGAACGATCGGCTCTCCACTACGTGGCGTTCTACCTGAAAGGTACTCACTCACAGATGACAAAGCACAAATGAACTGTAGTATTTCTGCACATGGCTGTCAATCCAAGCTTTTTTTTTTCCTCCCTACAGCATTCAACCACAGCAGCACAGAACACATTCGACAGATGTACAAAAAAAAGCTGGCCTCCTTTGAAGAGAACTGTGCACTCATTCCCTACCTGAGCTCGTTGATGAGAGCCGACTACAAGCTCCCCAGCGAACTCCCCGTTGACTTTGACTTCAAAATGAAAAAGTTTCTCGCCTTGCGAGACTCGCCCAAAGCGAAATCTGCAAATCTAGCCTAGGGACCGATGCGCTCTGTGTTGGACAATGAACTGTAACCAATGTACTTCAGACGCAAAGACTCAGATCATTCAACTTGAGTCCAGTTTTGTTTTCACGGCATTGTGCAAGTCAGAATTAATAGCGCTCTCTCGTACCGACCCCAATGGCCAATCAAAGAAAATGTCCGATATTAACAACACACACTTGTTGCTTGGCAAACTTCATAAAGACTTATCTTACTGTTTTACCTTATAGGCAGACTAGCTCATGGTTAGCCACTTAACAGCAAGCCTCTATCCTGAGCCAAAAACCGCCAACTCTACATTCACTCCCACATCACTCACCGGGCCAGGCCCTGCCATTTAAACTCACACAATTAAAAGTCACAGATACTACGGTGTGGAAAGTGTAAATGATGACCTCAAGTGGACAAATAAATTAAAAAAAAAAAAAAAAAACACCAGCACCTCTCATACATATTTTGTGTTGGTGTGATGCATCTAGCATTAAAATAGAAATAATGAGAAATATATGTAGGTGCTAGTCAAAAAATGTGATTTATTTCATTCATACTGTTCAAAAAGTGAAACTTGTGGAATGTATACATTCATTTGATCTACTATTTAGTAGTCAGATCTACTTTTGCGTGTCAGTCAGAAGGCCAATAAAAAAATTACAATATCATTCACACTAACTTGTTGGTAGGCAGAATTCACTAAAGCACACACAATAAAAAAAAAAAATCCGGAATTTATTCATTCGTCCATTCTGACTTAAATTTCAAATGTTCTGAGGATGTATGAGGAAGACAAGGAAGGGAGGAGCACCTTTCAGGGCTTGGCGCCAGCTCCTGTGTGCACAGGAGTCCACTGGAATGCACTCATGCATATGACAGCTGTGGACAGCACACTGTACATGTCCCCCTGCTGAGGAAATTGTTTTCTACCCCCCCGCTGACCACCACCACCACTACCAAGATTCTCGACAGCCTCCCTCATAACCACCATGAAGTTCAAAGGAGCTCCACAGAGGCCACGGGACGGCGAGGCGGGAACGGCCTCGTACCAGCGACATGTAGACTACGAGGAGCCCAAACAGCGCCAACAGCACAGAGACATCCATTTGGCTTTCCGGGCCAAGCGCTACCAGCTGCTCATTGAGCAGGAAGTGAAGGAGGAGAAGCATAAAAGAGTCAGGAAGGTTGGTCTACATTTACTATTTTAATTCTATTAACTGACTGCTGACAACTTTTCATGCATGTGCTGCATTGAGGAAATTTGAATGTATTTTTGCAAGTCATGTGACGCCCACCTCTCAAAAATAACAGTACACACAAAAGCACATTTCAGAGCACCATTTCCTGCATGAAGGAGGTCAGCTGTAGACAATGGTTTTTCCATGACCCCATGCCGAGTGGAAACTCAGTAAACAAGTTCTGCTGTGCCATTGTCGTTCAAAAGAAGCAATTGTGTGACCCGTTTGTCTTGCAGAATGTTGGCAAAGTGCTGCGCTCCACATGGAAGTGCCTCATGCTCGGTCTGTACAATTTCGCTCTGTGCTACTCCACGCCTGCCACTGTGGCCGCCACCTTTGTGCCCGACTTCAGCCCTGCAAGAAACAGAACCTGAATGTCTCTTCTCGTTATTCAGTTAATACAATGAAACCTCACCTTAGAGTAATATCTATGCTAATTTCTGTTAGCTTGTCTATGGTGTTTCACCTTTAATGTTAGCATTGAGCTTGCTGACTTCGATTAGATGGAACATAGCGGTTTGGTTAAACATTATAATTTTTAAATTTAGGACCAACTGATACAGATTTTTTTGGGGGGTGAGGGCGATTCAGATGTTGAGCAAATTCCGATAATTGAGTCACCCACCTATTCATTAAAAAAAAAAACAACAACAATACCTGTAATACGAAGAATAATGACTTCTTTTTTTGTCTTAACTGTTTTTTTGTCTGGTGGGTCTGAAACGCATCTCCCGCGATAAAAGTGGGTTCACTGTAGTTTTCTATGACTCATAATTGTTGAAACCAATCCACAGTAGAAGCATGCCTGTTTTCTCTGCCTTGTAAAAATTATGACACATGATTTTTGGATGCATTGAACAACTTTACGTTGTAACACTATGAATTTTCTTTCACAATATGACCACTATTTCCGAATTACAAAGTTATTGGAATATTACAACTTTGATGTCATGTTATTTTGATTTGTTTTTTTTTTAATAAAACTTTTCTGCATTTTTCTGCCTTTGTTTTTATAATATAAAAGAATCTTTAGATATTTATATTTATACATTTGTAGTGTTTGTATTCTTGTTTTGTTTTTGTTTCTTGCAATAAAGTACTAATTAAATGTACTGTATTACAATTTATTTTCAAACATATGAGTTACTATTTTTAATCTTAAATCATTTATGTTCATTCAATATGATGAAATATCAAACATGGTGATATAAATTCTAATCTATATTACAATAATCAGTACAAACGGCCAATGTATTTCTAACTTTATTGATTCATTTAATTCAATATGACAATAGTAAAACAGATTATAGAATATGTAGTGCGACCTCTCACATACATATGCAACCTGTCATTCAAACTCTGTGTTTTTCCATCAAAAATGAAAACAGCTAAAGTCATCCCAATTTTTAAAAGTGGAGAAAGACAATTCTTTACAAATTATAGACCAATATCACTGCTCCCACAATTCTCAAAAATATTAGAAAAACTATTTTCTCGTAGACTTGATAACTTCATAAGTAAACACGAGCTATTAAGTGAAAATCAATACGGCTTCAGAGAAAAACGGACCACCTTAATGGCAGTAATGGAGTTCGTGGAAGCAATAGCTTCCAATATAGACAATAAAGAATTCACTGTTGGGATTTTTCTCGATCTAAAAAAAGCTTTTGATACAATAGATCATACTATATTATTGAATAAATTAGAGAAATATGGTATCAGAGGCATAGCACATAAATGGATTGAAAGTTATTTAGAAAACAGACATCAGTTTGTACAGTTCAAAAACAAAAAATCCAACTTACTGAAGATTACCCATGGAGTTACTCAGGGATCAGTGCTTGGACCAAAACTATTCATTTTATACATAAATGATATCTGTAGTGTCTCAAAACAATTCAAAT